TGGCTGAAAAGCCCATGAGAGTATTTCAGGCATGGAAAGCCAAGACACTCTGGCAAAAAGATCTCTGTGAGTGAGATCCCAGTGGAAAGAACAGGTCTTCAAAGAGGGAGGTGCCTTTCTCTGAAGGGAGGAGAGAACCTCCACTTTGACTATGACCGTGTCTAAACAAGATAAGAGTCGGAGAACTCAAGGGGCTTCCATAGCCTTGGAAACTCATGACTGGTGCATAGGGAGATTACTGATGCCATAAACAGGAGTGTCAATTTGTAAAGTCAACAACAGGAGTCACGGTGCACTTACTCCTCATGTAGGATCTCTGTCCTTAATGTGCTGTAGATTGAGGCTTAATGCTATAACGAGTACTCAAACAGTATATTTCACTTTGTGTTTCTATGGGGGTGCAAACGATTGAAATCTTTACTTAATGTACACTAAACTGATCTTCTGTAAAAAAAAAAAAAAAAAGAAAGAAAGAAAAAAAAGAAATTATCAATTCCCAACTTGACTCTCACTGGGATTAAACATGACAATAGGTCTGATCTGATTTCATCATCATTTAAAAAAAAAAATCATCTATTATTTTTCACTTTATGTCTCTGTGTGGGAGCAAACTGTTGAAATCCTTACTTAAGGTATACTAAGCTGATCTTCTGTATATTAAGATAATCGAAAATGAATCTTGATGTGAATGGAAGGGGAGAGGGAGTGGGAAAGGGGAGGGTTGTGGGTGGGAGGGACGGTATGGGGGGAAAAGCCATTGTAATCCATGAGTCGTACTTTGGAAATTTATATTCATTAAATAAAAGATAAAAAAAAAAGTGGACAGATCAATCAAAAAATCAGCAAAGAAACAATAGAGTAAATCAACACTACAGACCAAATGGATCTGATGGATATCTATAAAAGTTTTTATCCTACAGATGCAGAATACACATTCTTCTCATCAGTGCATGGAACTTTCTCTAGGATAGACCACATGTTAGGCCGTAAAGCAAGCCTCAGCAAATTTAAAAAAAATCAAAATCATGCCATACATCTTCTCTGACCACAATGGAATTAAGCAGAAAATCAACAACTCATGAATTTCTAGAATATATGTAAATACATGGAGACTGAACAACATGCTCCTAAATAAACAGTGGGTCACTGGAGAAATTTCTGGAAATGAAAGAAGACACCAATAAAACATATCAAAACTTATGGGATAAAACAAAAGCAGAGTTAAGAGGAAAGTTCATAGCAATTGGTGCCTACATCAAGAAATTGGAAAGGCACCAAATGAGCTATCGATACATCTCAAGGACTTAGAAAACAACAGCAAACCAAACCCAAAACAGTAGGAGAAAAGAAATAATTAAAGTTAGAAAAGAAATAAAATCGAAACCCAAAAAACAGAAAAGATCAGCAAAACAAAAAACAAATTTTTTGAAAAAATAAAATTCACAAACCATGGCCCAACTAACTTAAAAAAAGAGAAAACCCAAATCAATAAAATTGGAGATAAAAAAAGAAATGTAATGACACCACAAAAATAAAAAGAATCATCAGAAATTACTACAAACAACTGTTTGCCAACAAATCAGGAAACCTAGATAGATAGATGGATAGATTCCTAGACACACACAACCTACCTAAATTGAGCCACAAAGACACAGAAAACATGACCACCAATAACCAAGACAGAAATTGAATCAGTAATAAAGACCCACTCAGTAAAGAGGCCATCCCACTCCTGGGAATTTACCCAAAGCAAATAAAACCAGCCTATGAAAGTTATCTGTACCCCCATGTTTAGCACAGCTCAATTCACAATAGCTAAGATGTGGAATCAACCCAAAGGTCTGTCAACTGAAGACTGGATAAAGAAATTATGGGATATGTACACCATATAATACTGCACAGCAGTAAAAAAAAGGGGGGGGGGGATTCCTGTCATTTTCAACAAAATAGATGAAACTGGAAAACATCATACTTTGTGAAATAAGCCAGTCCCAAAAGCACAAATACCATATGTTCTCCCTAATCTATGATAAATAATAGAGTACCTAAAAGGTAGTCTATAGAAGTGAAAGTGACACTTCAAGATACAATGACTTGGGGCAGGCGCCACGGCTCACTAGGCTAATCCTCCACCTTGCGGCGCCAGCACACCGGGTTCTAGTCCCAGTCGGGGCACCAGATTCTGTCCCGGTTGCCCCTCTTCCAGGCCAGCTCTCTGCTGTGGCCAGGGAGTGCAGGGGAGGATGGCCCAAGTGCTTGGGCCCTGCACCCCATGGGAGACCAGGATAAGTACCTGGCTCCTGCCTTCGGATCAGCGCGGTGCGCCGGCCGCACTGCGCCAGCCACGGCGGCCGCGGCGGCCATTGGAGGGTGAACCAATGGCAAAGGAAGACCTTTCTCTCTGTCTCTCTCTCTCTCACTGTCCACTCTGCCTGTCAAAAAAATTTAAAAGAAAAAGATACAATGACTTGGAATAGCCCTTGTCTCAACTTTTGAGGAACAGTTTTATTTTTCAAACTATTTTTTGAACTCTTTATTTAGTATAGAGTTAATTATATGTGTATAAAGTTAATTGAAAATAGATCTTAGAAAAAATTAAGAATGGGATTAGGAGAGAGAGGAGGAAGAGGGGTGGGAGGGTAGGTATAGTGGGAGAATCACTATATTCCTAATATTGTATTTATGAAATGCATCAAGTTTGTATTCCTTAAATAAAAGGTTTCTGGATAGCTGGCAGTAGCAAGTAGAGATGCCACCTGCAGTGCCAGCATCCCATATGGGCTCTGGTTCGAGTCTCAGCTGCTCTACTTCCAATCCAGCTCTCTGCTATGGCCTGAGAAAGCAGTAGAAGACAGTTCAAGTCCTAGGGCCCCTGCACCCACGTAGGAGACCTGGAAGAAGCTCCTGGCTCCTGGCTTTGGATTGGCACAGCTCTGGCCCTTGTGGCCATCTGGGGAGTGAACCAGCAGACAGAAGACCTCTCTCTCTCTCTGCCTCTGCCCCTTTGTAACTCCACCTTTCAAATAAATACATCTTTTAAAAATAATAAAAAATAAAAGGTTCCTGGGAAAAATTTTTTAAATAAATGAAAACTTCAAAATTAAATTAAAAAGTACCTGATCTCATGGAGTGTGTGATTTAATTTTCACCAGAAGAGGAACTATCAGATGGTAACTAATACTCCCTAGTAGAAATAAATCCAAAGGTCCTCAAATATCTTTTGTATTTCTATTTCTTTAACAGCCTATTTCATATTACATGCTTGTAAGTACTTTTAGAATATAGACCAAGTCACACATTACTGCATCTGCAGAACCCAGCACAATGCATAGCATACAAGTGACATGAAATATTATCTTTATTGAATGAATAAGTTATGATACCCACTATGACCTCTCCTCCAAGTTCCAGGGCCATGAGCTCCTTTTGCATGTTAGATAGTTCCATTTACTGTAACCCAGCTTTATCTCTCACATAATTAAAACCAAATTTATCACCATCCTTGACAAATCTACAAGCTTTCATGGAGTCCCCACTTCTAACACTGGTGTCATTCCTTTCCTTGAATTATTTGTGATAAAATCTAAGCTGCTTAACTAGTCTCTCCAAACTGAGATGCAACACAACCCTTTCAGAAAAAAATGAATTAATGGGGTCAGCACTGTCATGTAGCTAGCTGTATGAAGCTGCCACTGACATCCCATTTGGGCACTGGTTCAAGACATGTATGCTCCATTTCTGATCCAGTTCCCTGATAATGACCTGGGAAAGCAGAGGAGGACGGCCCAACTGCCTGGGCCCCTGCACCCAGCGGAAGACCCAGAAGCAGCTCTGGGCTGCTGGCTTCCACCTGGCATAGCCCTGGCTGTTACAGCCATTTGCAGAGTGAATCAGCAGGTGAATATTCTGTATGTCTCCCTCTCCCTTTCGCTCTATAACTCTTTGAAATAATAAAAAATAAATGTAAAAAAGGAAAAAAAATTATTGTTTTATTTATACTGCCTAAAAACAGTTACTTTATATCTTTGCAAAGAAAACTATGCTTTGGACATCTAGCTTAGAAATCCAGATTCAATTAGAGCATCGGTGTTACTTCAATTCTTTAAAATTGTCTTGCCTTATAAAGTTTTTCTCTGCATTTTTATTTTTCTGCATTATCTCAATTGCAGTAGTCTTCTACTGGAGTTTTTTTTTTTAAAGACTTATTTATTTATTTTAAATGCAGACTTACAGAGAGAGAAGGAGATACATAGAGACCGAGAAAGAGAGATATCTTCCCTCTGCTAGTTTACTCCCCAAATGGCCACAACCAGCGGGGCTGGCCCAGGCCAAATCCAGGAGCCAGGAGCTTCTTTCTGGTCTCCCACATAGGTGCAAGGGCCCAAGGACCTGGGACATCCTCCGTTCCTTCCCAGGCACGTTAGCAGGGAGCTGGATTGGAGGTGGAGCGCTGGATTTTAACCAGATCCCATATGGGATGCTGGCTCTGCAGTCCACGCTTTAACCTGCTAAGCCCACAGCACAGGCCCCATACTGAAGATACTTTAAGGAAAAGGTATACAGAAAAGAGGTAGTCCATTCTACCACGAGCAGAGGTTTTCCCAGGACTGGAAAAATCTACATTTGTTCATATGTTGTATCAGAAGTCATTCTATAATACTCCATGGCCTAACCTAACCTTCTCATTTTCAACTGTCAATCATTAATAACAAAGTTTAGGAGAAGACGACAAAGTGGGAAAGAATAAATTACAGGACAAGAATAAGGAGTCTGGAGAGAAATCTGTTCAGTCTGAACCTATGAAAGCAGTTACCATGTATTCAATCAAGATGGCGACAGGCAAGAGAGAAAACCTGTGAGGGCCAGTCTTGCCCGGTCACTGGTCCCTCAGCTGGGGACAATCACGATACTGTTTTACAGTGCTTCCACACCACTGTTCATAAGGGACAGAAGGTCGCAGCCGCGGGCCACCCCCTCCACCCGTGAGTCGCGGCACTCACCATCACAATCGGCCTCACTGGGATGTTCTCCTGCGAAGTGCCTGGCGGGGGATCACTCCACGCTGGGAACTTAATAACATCCTTTTGGGATGAGGGCTTTTTCGGATATGGTTTCAGAGGTGAGGAAGGAGGAAACCTAAAAACCAAGAACAATTTGTTATTGCAGCAGTGGCAGACACTGACATTTTAACAACAATATCCAGGTCTTCTGCCCTTGCAAATTTATACAGTAATTCCACACTTAATGAGCCCACACTTAACCAAATTATTACACATGACTGGTTGCATCTAATTGTATCTTTTGTTTTATTTCATATCTATATATCTATATATTCACTCATGGGGCCAGCACTGTGGTAGGGCAGGTTAGGCTGCCCACTGTGACACCAGCATCCCATTGGAGCACCAGTTCAAGTGCCAGTTGCTTCACTTCTGATCCCTGCTAATGTGCCTGGTAAGCAGTGGGAGATGGTCCAAGTGCTTGGGCCCCTGCCAACAACCTGGAAACCTGAGTGGAGCCAGGCTCCTGGCTAAGCCTGACCTGGCCTAGCCTTGGCAGGTGCAGCCATTTGGGGGAGTGAATCAGTGAAGAGAAGATCGATCTCTCTCTGTCTCACCCTCTCTATATACAACTTTGCTTTTCAAATAAATAAATCCTTAAAAAATAAAATATTCATTCATTAGGCCCAACAAAAAGCATTTATGGGGAAAAACAGGAAGCAATTACATGATACACGCTTTAGATAAATAAATAAAATCCATTTTCTTATCATTTGATTTTCATGATCAAAGATGTTTTTAGTAGGATGCCTGGGTAAGCCGTTTCTTTCACCAACTCAAAATCCTTTCTATCTCATAACTCCAAAATCTGCAGGTGGCATATTATAAATGAGAATTATCAATAGAAAAATCTGAGTAATACTTGCTAAGGAAGAGTATATTAACATGAAAACCATTTGGCCTCATACTTTTTCCCTCAAGTAACCAACACTTGGCACAGAGACTGAAGCTTCAGTCTAAGAAATCTATTGGGAAAGGAGCCTGGAAAGCCCCCCAGTGAGGGAGTGGCTCTCAGAAGGAAAGCCAAGGGCACTCTCGGAGCAAGGGAAACGCTGAGGGCCCTCCCAGAACAACGTGGCACAATTCGTACCTGTGTGGGAATGTGTAACCTACAGCAACCCTGTAGCCTTAAAATGTCCAAATGAAATGTATGCAAATATTCGAGGGAGACAAAGAAACTAAGACTGTACATAAGGCAATGCCCCACTTGGTTTGGGGCTCAGCCTTGAACATTAATTCCCTGGACCCATGTCCACAGGAACAGCACTACTGCTTCCTGCCGTGAGCCTTGATGCTGCCAGCACCGCAGGCGGAGGATTAGCCTATTGAGCCATGGCACCGGCCTTTTTTCTTTTCTTAAAAATTATTTATTTGAAAGAGCTACAGAGAGTGAGAGACACAGAGGGACAGAGAGAGAAAGAATCTTCCATCTGCTAGTTCACATCCCCGTACATCACACACTGGCTCATGTCTATAGTTTTCAAGGAAAGTTTATATCAAGGTGAATCAGGAGACAGAAAGAGGGAGAGACAGAAAGTCTTCCATTCACTCCCTAAATGGCCACACAGCTGGAGCTCAGCCAATCCAAAGCCAGGGGCTTCTTCCGGGTCTTCCACACAGGTTCAGGGGCTCAAGTACTTGGACCATCATCTGCTGCTTTCCCAGTCCATTAGCAGAGAGCTGGATCAGAAGATGAGCACCCAGGACATGAACTGGTGCCCATATGGGATGCCAGCACTGCAGGTGGAGGCTTAGCCTACCACACCACAGCACTAGCCCCTGATGTAAACATTTTTGGACCTGAGTTCCTAAGCTTGGCTTTCCCATGAACTATATGTTTCCTTTGGAATGTAAAAGTCTCTCTAAATCACAATTTAAATTAGATGATATATAAATTTCCTTCTAGGTTCAAATATGTGTTTCTGGTATTCCCAAACTCAGAAATAGGGAATATCTTCCAAACAGCAGAGTAGAATCTCTTTTACTTTTTTTTAATTTAAATTTTTATTTATTAGTCAGAGAGACAGAGATCTTCTATTCACTGGTCCACTCCCCAAACACCTACAACTGACAGGACTGGGCCAGGCTGAAGCCAAGAGCCTGGAACCCAATGTGAGCCTCCCTCATGGGTGGCAGGGAACAAAGTACTGGAGCTATCACCTGCTGCCTCCAGGGTGTGCATCAGCAGGAAGCTGGATCAGGGGCAGAGCCACGCCTCACACCCAGGGACTCTGAGCACCCCATAGCGGCAATAACTGCTACACCAAACTCCCAGCCCCAGAGTAGAATTTCTCACTGCAGAACAGTGATGGAAGACACGCCAGGGAGTCACTTCTTCCCTCCACCCAGAGAAGATGAGCTCCCTGCTCACAGCCATCAGAAGAAGGCCTGCTATCTTCTCCCAGAAGTCTGGCTACCTTGCTGAGATAAAATGCAGAGGAGCTCCCTCCAGTGGACTGCTTTTATTTTGTGCATTGGAAGTCATCAATTTAATCCTAATATCTTAATCTTCTAACATTGGACTTGACAGCCCTTTAGAAATGATGTGGCTCAAAGGCCACATTTTTCACCTAGGGAAATTAGGGCCCATGAGAGAAAAGCCCCTGAACAAAAATAAATAAATTAATTAATTAATTAATTAAATAAAATAAATCCATCTTCTACAAAAGATCTGCAAATCCTTTAACAAAAAAACTACAAAACTTTATTGAAAGATATTAACTAAATTGACAGAAAAATATACTTTAGTGAATAAGAAGACTCCGCATCATAAAATACCACTTTTCCCTATGAAGATAGAGAGACGATGAAATCCAACGAAACGTTTTTCATGAAATATGATTATAAAACTTACATGAAAATGCGAAGTGCTAAAAATAATCAAGACATTGTTTTCAAGACATTGTTTTCTTTTTTTTTTAAGATTTATTTATTTATTTGAAAGTCAGAGTTACACAGAGAGAGGAGAGGCAGAGACAGAGGTCTTCTATCCGCTGGTTCACTCCCCAACTGACCTCAACAGCCGGAGATGCACCAATCCAAAGCCAGGAGCCAGGAGCTTCTTCCGGGTCTCCCAAGCGGGTGCAGGGGCCCAAGGACTTGGGCATCTTCTACTGCTTTCCCAGGTCATAGCAGAGAGCTGGATTGGAAGAGGAGCAGCTGGGTCTTGAACCAGCGCCCATATGGGATGCCAGTGCTTAGGCCAGCGTGTTAACCCTCTGCACCACAGTGCCGGCCCCAAGACATTGGTTTTAAAATAAACTTATTGGCACCAGCATTGTGGTGTAGTGGGTAAAGCCGCTGCCTGCAATGCCTGCATCCCCTATGGGCACTGGTTCGAGTCTTAGCTGCTCCACTTCTGATTCAACTCCATGCTAACACACCTAGGAAAGCAGTGGAAGGTGGCCCAAGTACTTGGACCTCCTCGGGGGAGACCCCGAGGAAGCTACTGGCTCCTGGCTTCAGCCTGGCCCAGCTCTGGTCATTGCAGCCATTTGGGGAGTGAACCAGCAGGTGGAAGATCTTTCTCTCTGCATCTGTCTATCTCTGTCACTCTCTAAGGCTGCCTTTCAAATAAATAAAATAAATCTTAAAAAAAAAAAAAAACACTCCCTGCACAATATCTACCAAAATAATACATAAATAAGTAAACTTAGCTTTTATTTCCATTTTCCATGAACTTTTTAAGATTTATTTATTTGAAAGGCAGAGTTAGAAAGAGAATGAGAGAGAGAGAGAAAGAGAGATCTTCCAGTTGCTAGTTCGCTCCCCAGATGGCTGTAACAGCCAGGGCTGGGTCAGGCCAAAGCCAGGAGCCAAGAACTCCATCCCAGTCTCCCACATGGATGCAGGGGCCCAAAGACTTGGGCCATCTTCTACTGCTTTTCCCAAGCACATTAGCAGAGAGCTGGATTGGAAGTGGAACACCAAGGACTCAAATGGGTGCCCGTATGGGATGCTGGTGTTGCAGGCGGTGGCTTAACCAGCTATACCACAATGTCTGCCTCAAGACATTCTTAAAGAAGAAAAACAAATTGCAGTGGCTTGCCTTACCAAAAATCAAAGCCAATGAAGACAATGTGGTAGAGCGATACTGATGGATGACACGAACCACAGCTACCTAATCTCAGCATTGCAACCATAGCTACTCAATCCCAGCAGAACGCTTAGCCTCAGCCCTGTCCTCTACCCACACGAGTACTGGTGGCACCTTCCAACACACCTGCTGTGACTAACAAAATTTTCTCCAGATTCTGCCCAATGGCCCCTGTAAAATGGCCATGCCTAGAAAAAGAGATGAGCACACTCATGTTTAAAAACATGGCTTATAACAGAGTAGACACTGCAAATCAGTGGAAAAACAAGGTAAGTACTGTGCCAACTGGTTATCCATTTTTTAAAAAGATTTATTTATTTTATTTGAAAGGCAGAGTTACAGAGAGGCAGAGGCAGAGAAAGAGACAGAGATTTTCCATCTGCTGGTTCACTCTCCAAATGGCTGCAATGGCCAAAGCTGTGCCAATCCAAAGCCAGGAGCCAGGAGCTTCTTCTGGGTCTCCCATATAGCTGCAGGTGCCCAAGGACTTGGGCCATCTTCTACTGCTTTCCCAGGCCATAGCAGAGAGCTGGATTGGATGTGGAGCAGCCGGGACTCGAACCAGAGCCCATATGGGATGCTGGCACTGCAGTTGGCGGCTTTACCGACTAAGCCACGGCGCCATCCCCTGGTTATTGTGAAAAGTGAAACTGCACTCCTCGGCAGACTGCCACATTTCCAAGGATCTTCACATTCCCAGAGTTGTTGACCAGGCACCCCAGACCACACGACCTTCTGCAACGTGAGCTTGCCGCTGCTGTGTCAAGAGGCAGAGTGCACGTCCCCACTCTTGCTGAGTCTGAGTGAGCTTTAAGTTTCTATAAACAAAATATGGCAGAAGCACTAACCCTTAACTAGCTGGCTTCTCTTCATGCCTCTTGAACTCTCGCTCTCATATCATGCATTCCTGTAAAGCTCCCTCTTGGAAACCAGTAACCAAGAAGTGTGACTACCCTAGGGCCACCATGTTGTGACACTCC